AACTCCTCGAACCACCCACGGCTTCCCTTAAATGCTTGTTCTTCAGCCGCTGATGATCCTGGCGTCTTCTTAACGAGGTCGGCGAAAATCACTTTCGCCTTCTCACAAATGATGTTCTCGTTAATAGTGTCGCCTTGCAACTGCTTTTCGTTCATCCAAATGAGCAACCTTTCAACATCGTCGAGAATACGTAACCGTTGCGTAGATATTCTTGTCACCCCGTTTGAAGCGTCTCTCTCCTTAATCTTGTCCTTGTTCTTGAGGATAGTGCAAATCGTTGATGTAGACCGATTGTATGTGCGTGCTAGATCAGCCACGCTCACACCTCGTTCTCGCTTTTCAATGGTTTACGTTTCATTTCTACGGTTATTTTTATTCTCTTATGGCTGTCTGTTTGCGGCTTTTTCTTCGGGGACATTTTTGCAAGGGTTATTGAACTTTGCACAAAAAAAAATCACAAATAATATGTCTGAACACAAGTTTGGAAAAATGTCTGATCACAAGCGACACTAAGATGCTAGCGGAACGAATGCTAAACACAGACTGAGGTAGCAAGCGCACAATCCGGGACTTCCCCTCTCGTCACTCGTTATGCGAAACGTCGCTCGTTAAGCGAGTCATTTTTTACAATTTGTTTTGCTCGTTATGAGATGTGCTCGTTAAGCGAGTCTAGACAGTCGGCTCATAGCTGGCGATGAGGTTGCCAGCCGCCCATCACCCCCAGGAAGATTCCTGTTACTCATATCTGAGGCTGACTCGACCGCAGGGCCATAGTGCGGTTGGGAGGATTGGTGTAGTGACCTATATCAAGGCTTAAACAGCTGGACACATTTTGCTAACAGTCGATAGGAAAGGCTTTCACTAAAAGTCGGCACTTCATAATTTATTGCACATGGCAAAAAAAAAAAAAAAGCAAAGCAAAGTTGTCCCTGTAACAGGCCACGAAGGCCCATAGAGTTGTGAGACGTTGATGGTCACACATTATCTAGACAATCGGTTCAAAGATGGCGGTAAGGTTGTCAGCCTTACGAGCCGGCCGCGCTTTACTCCCCAGGAAAATTACACAGGCCAACAGCTGTTTTGGTGCCGGGGTATTTGGAGCTGATTTCATATGAATTTGATGCCCTGAATTCAAATATGGCATTAGTTTTTGCCTAGGAGCTCAAATTTTTAAGATATAACATTTTGGTGAAATATACGTTACACTATTTTAAGTTAAATCAGTGGATCAAATAAAAAAACTCAACATGGAATTTTTATTACTATATTATAATTATATTTTTATTTTATTATATTAAATACAAAGATAGAGGAAAAAATCATCGACTATATATAACAGTCAAACCAACTATAGTCACGGAACACTACGGAAGCTTCTTTTTCGTGACTTTCTTGAATGTATTTTAGAACAGTCCCTTTTTAAACTCCAGCAGTAATCTGCCATCATGTGTGTATCCCATCTTCCTTGGTAGCGGTCCTCCATAGTTTTAATATCCTGGTGAAATCTTTCACCTTGTTCCTCACTGGTGTCTCCTAAATTTTCAGGAAAACTATCTAAGTGACTGTGTAAATAGTGCACCTTAATGCTCATGTTACAGCCAAGGGATTTGAAACTGTTAAGCATCTCGTTTACCAGTTCAACATAGTTTTCAGCTTTGTGTTTGCCCAGAAAATTTTCGACAACTGCAACAAATGAAGTCCAGGCTTTTCGCTCAGCCTCGTTCATCGAATTTGCGAAGGCAGGATCCTTAATGAGTTGTCTTATTTGTGGGCCGTCAAATATTCCTGCTTCAATTTTTTCCGTACTCAACTGAGGCATTTTCATTTCTATATATGCAAAGCATGATCCGTTCTTATCAAGGGCCTTTACAAACTGCTTCATAAGGCCCAACTTGATATGCAGTGGAGGAAAGATGATTTTCTCTCGTCTAACTAAGGGATCGTTAATGATATTCTTCTCCCCAACGTACATGTTTTCTCTCTTGGGCCATTCTTTTCTAACCCAGTGGTGTGTTTTGTCTCTGCTATCCCAGAGGCACAAAAAGCAGGGATATTTGGTGTAACCACTTTGCTGTCCAAGGAGAAAATTTACCATTTTTAAGTCCACACAAATCACCCATTGATGTTCATGATACTTTATCTTCTCTAAGACCAAAGCTATGGTGTTATATTCTTCTTTCATTTTCGTGGAGTGAGCAATTGGTATTGAACCATATTTGTTTCCATTGTGTAGAAGGACACATTTCAAACTTCGCTTTGAGCTGTCAATAAATAGGCGCCAATCATCGGGAAAATATTCAGGAAGAGCCATTTTTTCCAAGAGTCCTCTAATTTCGTGACAATATACAAGATTGTAATCTTGAGAGAAGAAGGGTAGCAGATCCGTTTCTCTTGTGCGGTAAAAGGAAATTTTGGTTTCTTGTTCCAGTAAATTTTTGTCGTTCAACCTAGAAGCCAGTAATTCAGAAGCTTCTTTTGACAGGTTGAGATCTCTGATGAGGTCATTTAACTCATCCTGGTTAAAACGTTGAGGGATTGACGACATCCCTTCATAATCACTGTCACCTTCATTACAATCAGAAGGGTGATTAGAGGGAAAATACTCATCCTCACAGAGCTCTGGTAGCTGGTGAAACGTTGGGATCGGTACTTCCTCTGAGTGAGGAACTGGGCGTCTTGCAGAGGCTAAATCAGGATAAGTCCACTTGCTACGGTTGTTTCGATTGATTCCAGTAATATTTACTAGGCAGAAATAACAG